CAGCTACATGGTGAGACCCTGTCTCAATCAAACAAAATAAAATAATAAAAACATTCCAAAAGTATCATGGGGGACATTTATAACATCATAATATTCTGTAAGTATTGTGGAGGGGCCCTTATAACTTCTTTTATTTATTTATTTACCTATTTATTTATTTATTTATTTATTTATTTATTTATTTATTTATCTATTTATTTATTTGGTTTTTCGAGACAGGGTTTCTCTGTGTAGCTTTGGTGCCTGTCCTGGATCTCACTCTGTAGACCAGGTTGGCCTCCAACAGAGATCAGCCTGGCTCTGCCTCCCGAGTGCTGGGATTAAAGGCGTGCACCACCACCGCCGCCCGGCATAACTTCTTTTTGAGAATAGTTTCAGCAGCCCCATCTCTGGGGGTGACCTCAGTCGACGATGGTCGAATGCGGGTTGAGATGCTGCAAGCCTCCCTTGTGAGCTTGAGTCCCCTAGACAGGCACTTGGAGTTCTGCTGGCCATGGGGGTGCTGCCTCTATGTTTGTCCACATTGTCCTCTCCCTGGGAGAAACGCAGAGAAACTGTACCTCCTGTGCAGGAGCAGACTGCAGGACAGACCAGGGAACAGATTTGCCAGATGACCTAACCTTACCTCACCACCTTCGTCAGACCATCTGGCCCCGGGGAACAGACCCACAGGTGAGTAGAGAATACAGTGTCCCCTGCTGGGAATGGTTCCAGGCCTGGAGGTCAGTGTGGGGGCGGGCATTGGGAGGAGATTTATTTAAAAAACAAAGAACTGGTGGGGTAGGGTATGGCGGTGCATACCTCTAATCCCAGCAGAGGGGAAGTGGGGGCGGGAGGATCTAGAAGAGCTCAAGGCCTGCCTCAGTTACCTGATAACCTGTTGCAAAATAAACAACAACAAAACAAAACAAACAAACAAAAAAATCACTCAAGACAACACAGCCCCCTCCAACCAGGACAGCTGGGATCTCACATCTCTTGTCCACACTGTCCCCCTTTACCATCTTTAGCGAACAGTTCGCTTCTGGGGGCCTCAGTTTCCTTATCTACAAAGCAAGAGAAGCGGAGCCCAGGAGCTTAATTTTAGCCAGGCCTGGGGTGAGCGACCTGAAATCCCGCCACTGGGGAGGCGGCGGCAGTAGGATTGCCAGTTGGAGCCTGCCTGGGCTCCATGGTCTGGATCCGACGCTAAAACGCAGGTTACTCTATTCAGGTCGAAGGTAAGAGAGGGCTTGCTTGCTGGTTGAGTCAGCCCGGGGCTCCTCCCTCTAGGGGCCGTGGAGGGTAACTGCAGGAGCACTGATGACGGGAGGGATTGAGTCTGGGGACCGGAAGGAGCAAGCGTTCCTAAACCAAGTTCTACATCGCAGTCTTCCCTCCCAGGTTACTGTGACAGGATAGACGACAGGTGTCCCGAAGTTGGTCCTGGGTCTACTGAGACCTCCTTCGATGAGAGTCCTGGGCCAGATCTCAGCATACGTTTGGCAGAGGTGGAATTACCTCACCTCTCTGAGCCTGTTTGGCGTGCAGCAATACTTCCTAGCTCTCGGGGCTGAGAATTTCAAAGGCAGTTGCGTTCTTGAGAAAATGTCCCAAGAGAGGTGCCCTGGCTCACATGTGAAGTCCGTGTTCCTTTGCTGCAGTCACAGTGACTTGTCTGAGTTCCCTGTACTTCATTTAGCCTCACTTGCCACTCATTTCTGCTTTCTGGAGGCCGGATGTCTCCAGTCCCAAGTTGAGATTTACCCGATGCTTCATTATACCAGTAGGAACCCTTCCTGGAGTTGGCAGTCACTCGGGAGGAGCGGGCAACTCCTGGGAACTGGCCGCAGCAGTCTGATTTGGGGTGGAAGGTTGGGGGATCGTGGGGTTGTCAGCAAGGCTGGCATGCACAGACATGTTTTCTTCCCCTCTTATCAGTGTTGGTCATAACAACCTGGAATGTTGGCTCACAGACCGAACTTCCACTAAGTGTGGATGGAGTTCAGGCAGCCTCGGAGGAGGTAAGATCTGCTCAGAGCCCTGAGGCATCCCTTTCCTTACCTAAGACAAAGATCTCCAGTCTGTGTTGGGCGCTGCTCAGGGAAAGGAGGCAGAGATGAGTTCTTCAGGGTGGCAGGGAAGGCAGGGTGGTAAACAAAGTCACATGGGGTTTGGGAGGCGCTCAGGGACCGGATACCTAGTTTACCCTGTGGACCGCAGCTTTCTAGGAGTCTAGGGAAGAGATCATTCAATTTTCTTCAGCCCCTTGAGTGCTAGGATTACAAGCATCCATCACCATGTCCATCCGAGGCGAGTGTTAAGGATGAGTAGGATGCAGGACAAAGGAAGGGAAGGCCTGGCCAAAGGAACAGCTTGAACAAGCGTGGAGATGAGAAACCACGAACATTGTAGAAACTTAAGTCCATGCGAGGCTTTGGTACAGGAAAGGGAGTGGAGAGTGAGGGTGGCCTCACTATGTACCCCCAGATGACCTGGCACTCCCTGCACAGACCAGGCTGGCCTCGAACTCACAGAGATCTGCCTGGCTTTGCCTCCCGAGTGCTGGGACTAAAGGCAGAAGCCATCATGCCTGGCCTTGAAACACAACACTAATAATTTGTGTATTGTAAAGTATTCCTTTACAAATCAGTAAATAAGGTTCAAAGAGATTAATAACTTGCCCAAATCCCACACCCAGCAAGCAGCAGACCTGGGATGGCGACTAGACCTGCCTCACTGTAGAACACAGCACCCTCCACACACTCCCTACCCTGTTCCCAGGATCAAAACACGGGGAGGCCACGTGGGCACACATGCCAGGCCATTCCTGAGATGCCTGCTCCTGCCTTCAGCATTCCTTATTGGACCCTCCTATCTGAGCTGGCAGCCTTCTGCGGCCTTCCTGTTTCAGGCCAGCACTCGCTGTCTCTCAGCAATTATTTTCAGGTCTCCATGTACCACAGAAAGGAAGGGGCCACCACAATGGAGCCTGCTGGAAATTAATTTTATTTTTGAGCTAGGGCAAGTCTCACTATGCTTGCCTCGAACTCTGGATCTTCCTGCTTCAGCCTCCAGAGTGCTGGGATTACAGACAAGTGTGTGCCACCACCGCCCACCTGCAAACCCATTTCTAATTTTTTTTTTTTTTAAGACAGGGTCTCTCTGTGTACACCAGCTGCTCTGGCATTTACTATGTAGACCAGGCTGGCCTCAAACTCACAGAGATCCACCTGCCTCTGCTTCCCAAATACCTGCACCACCACAGGGAGAGGGGGCATGACTGAAGTAAGTGCCATCCAAACCAGTCCCATTGTCCTGGGCACAAATGTGTTTGTTTATTTATTTATTTAATTACACTCATAATATTAATTACATTTGTGGTATTCATTGACTACATTTGTAGTATTCATTCAATAATTATATTTATATTTATTAATTACATTAATTGTATTGATTTATTACATTCATGATATTATGTCCTGATACTACTGTCCATTCGTGGGACTTTTCCATCACACAAAACAGAGATTCTGTACTTAGGAAATCATTGCTCTATATTCCTTTCTTCTCCATCTTGAGATAACCGTCTAATCTTTCTGTCTCTATAAATTTGTATATTCTATATATTTCATGTAATACAATTCTATAGTGTTTGTCCTTTTTTTGAATGTAAAAAAAATTTATGTACAACTGCAGGAGAAATAATACACAGATAGCTTGAACATAAAAACAGGTTATAATTCAAAAGTCCAGGGTTATTTTAAACAGTAAAATATTTTCTCTGAGGCGGATCTCTGTGAGTTCGAGGCCAGCATGGGCTACCAAGTGAGTTCCAGGAGAGGCGCAAAGCTACACAGAGAAACCCTGTCTCAAAAAACCAAAAAAAAAAAAAAAAAAAAAATTTTTTTCTCTGTAGAAAATACTGGGCATGAATTTGGTTCTGCCATTGCTTAAGGGTGGTCCACACAGTGCTGGATGCGTAAGTCTGAGGCCTGCCTGTTGGATGTTGCCCTGCCTGCTCATGTCTTATTTAGGGGTTCAGCCAGCAGACACCCATTCCAGTTGCCCCGTGGACTCTAACCAGTCTGAAGCCCAAAGTGGAAGAGCACATTATAACACGCAGGTGCAGGCCCAGGGGCCCCTCGCTTGATTTTTATTTTCAGTGTTTTCCTTTCCCTCCGCATTTGCATGTGAAGCCTCCCCGTAGCTTCAAGCTCTGTGGGGAACCTTGGCGGGGTCCCGGTAAATACCAAGTGCTAGTTCCTTTCTGTCCAGTCAAGTCACGAGGGTAGCCAAGGCCCATTGAGCACTTGGGGTCCGGGTACTTAGGTGTCTCCAGGAATCTTCATCATGGGCTTTAAAACAAAAACGAACAAACAAAAACCCTCTATTTTCAAATGGGCTTCAAAACAACAAAACAAAATAGCCCAAACCCACACACACACACAACCAAAAAAAACCAAAACACAAAAGACAACAACTCTAACTGGGGAGAACACTGAGACGCCCGGATTCGGAACTGTAATCTTGAGGACGGCAACCCATGTCTCTCTGTTCCAGACTCCAAAGCGCACACGGTTTGGCGGCCTCTGCAGCAGCCTGCAAAGGGCTGCTGGAAGGCGAGAGGAAACTTTTTTCCTCTGAGAGGTTTCGGATGCCTGTCTTCCTTCCCTCAGACCAATTAAATCACAGCCTCTGGGGTCGACGCAAACATCGGTGTCTTTCCGGACTCCTGGGTTGATTCCTGTAAGCAACGGGGGCTCGCCCTGCCCTCTAGTTTAACAGCCAGAGGCACTTAGCCTCTTCCATAATCGTGTTCTAGAAAGCAAAACCCAAACCCAGGGGTCGGGGGGGGGGGGGCGCTAATTCCCCTTCGCTCAGGGTCACAACCTGGGGGGAGGGGCCCTGGCGGGGTGGGGGGGCCCTGGCGATCTCCTCTCAGGTGTGTTGTGGCTGCAGGAAATTACCCCCTCCCGTGGCCCCGAGCGCCGGGCGGTTGCGCCATCCAACCCGGCTTTCGTAACCGCGAGCCGGGGCTGCCAAGAGGAGCTTCTGCACCGGTTCCTCAAATGTTTCGCTGTTGCCAGGACGGCCCGCTGCTCTGCGTCACGTGCAAGTGGGAAGTCGCGCCGACACCGACTTGAGCCGCGCCGGGCCGAGCGCTCGCAGTCGGAGCTGAGTGCCGAGCCCGAGGCGGACGGCCACTGCTCCCGGGGCTCCCGCCCCCCGCCGCCCGGTCCCGGCTGCGGAGCTGCCCCGCCCGCCGCCCCGCGCACAAGGAAGCATGCCGGCCGTCGGCTGCGCGCTGCTGGCCGCCCTGCTAGCCGCGCCCGCGGTCGCGATGGCCCTCGGGAGCTGCCGCGCGCTGGGTAAGACGACCTGGAGAGGGCCGGGGGATGTGACATTGGCTCGTTCCGTGGGGAGTGTGAGCCCCCGCGGGCACCGGGTGCCCGCCCGGGGCTGACCCACCTGTGCTGATCGCGGTGGGGGTTCGCGCGCCCCCTGTTGCGTCTGGCACCTTTGGCTGCGGGCTCCCGTCTGTCTGGGCAGTTGCCTAAAGTCTGAGTACAGGACTGTGTGTTTTCCCGAAACCTGACTCTGGCGTCTGGTTCCCAGTGTCCCCATGTGTCTTACTCAGCTGCATCCCGGGTCACTCCGAAGGGAGATACCCAGATGGCGCGCCCTAGCGGAGTAGTAGCCCCCTCTGGAGAGTCCTTTGTGCCACTGGCTCCGTCCGCTTTAGCTGTGGCACCCACCTCGCTTGGCTCTCCCCAGTTCCACTGCGTGTCATGTCGTGCGTGATGACAGTGACCTGATTGTGAAGGGTCTGACCTCATGGGCTCTGAGTCACGGGTGCTCCCGCCTCACATACTTAGTCTTTTAGCCAGTACTAGCCCTGGCACGCAGAGTGCCAACACCCACCCCAACCCCAGTCCTGTGAGTCTGACAGCAAGGGATGTGGGACCTTTTGGAACTGTGCCCCCACCCCACCCCCGCCCCATCCCTTTCCGATAAGCGGGTGGACCAGGCACGGGGTAGGGGCACTGTGCTACTGCGCCCGCGCCCTCCCTGCACTCCGCCTCGAGGGTCTAGGCCTCTCTGTGGGCTCTGGCTTCAAGCCCAGCGGCCTGCCTGGTGTCTTCTGGAGGAACTGGGCAACTGCTTCTCTACTTGTTATTTTAGGGGCTGAGGACTTCTGCGAGGACATGGAGAGAGTCAAGGGGCGCTAGGGAGATGTCCGCTGTGCTGGTTGTGGAGTCAGTGGCTGGAAAACGCCTCTCTCTCTTTCTGTCTCTCTGTCTCTCTGTCTCTCTCTCTGGCAGAATTCCGCATGCTCGGCTTGGTACCCCTGCATATATTTTCTTTTTCTTTCTTTTTGTAGGCAGGGTCTCACATAACCCACACTGGCCTCAAACTTGTGCCTCTCCGGCCTCGTCTCCTGAGTGCTGGGATTTCAGGCATTAACCACCATCCTGCATTCCTGCATTCGATGGATCTGTTTGTTTTGTTTTTGTTTTTGAGTGTTGGTGTTAAAGGCATGTGACACTGCCGCCCGGCTCTATACATATTTTTAATCCTCCACTGGATTGACATAAAGCTGTGAGAGGAGCCTGAGGTCCAGAGAGGTGCGATGGAGGCTATCAGCCCAGTTGTTGGCTCCCCAGCCCTTCCATGTCTCCGTTTCCTCGCGGTAGATCCCTAAATACTTCTCAGTGAACTAGACCAGTAGGCAGAACTGAGGGCATTTGGGGCAAGTCGAGCATCACTCTCATCTGGCAGAATTCTGGAGCAGGAGGCGCCGACGGAAGAGAAGTGACGGTCCCCGCTTGGCTTCTCATAGTGCCAGGCAGGACTGAGGCCTTCTCTTCCCTTTTGGTCTTGGGAGAGCAGGAGTGGGCCCGTCTCAGTTACTACTCCCCCCACCCACCCCAGCACCACGCCATTTCCCTTTGTTCCTAAGGAGTTGCAAGGCATTTTGGGGACGAGTTCTGTTTTCCTGTGGTTCAGAAAGGACACCCAAGAGTGGGGGTGTCTTCTGACCTGAGCAGCCTTTTAGAAGGCAGAACTGGGAGTCTGGGGAGGAAGTGAAAGCTCTCCCCGCTCAGAAGGAAAATGCAGAGAAGTACAGTCCCCAGCCCATCTCCCACACCCACACTTGCACGGCCGCACACTAGAGAGTGACAGCCAAGAAACAAGCATCTAACAGGAAGTGTGGAGCGAATGACTGTGCGACTGCGTGGCTTTAGAGAAGCGAGGCCCGCCGGAGCTGGCACACAGGGGAAGCCCATCGGTGGGATTCTGAAAGTCCGCGCGGCCAGGGCCCGCTAGGGCTCCTCTGGTGCCTTTGCCACCTGGGTAAGGCCCTGGACCAGCTGGCATTGAGACTTCTGCTAGGTCAAACATTCTAGGTGCTGCTGGCTGAGGTGGGCTTATAGCTTCAGTTCCTCTTTCCTTCTGCAAGGCAGGAAAATACACACAGCAGCAGCATCGAGGCCTAAGTATCTAAATCTCCTCTTGACTTCTGAATTCCTTTTGAGGCAACCTCTTTCAGTCCATACAACTCACCTGTATTCCTAGCCTCATCCTGAATCAGTGTTTTTCTGAAGGTAACTTTTATTCTAGCATTGTTTTTTGGCTAGGAAGGATGGATTTTTATAAAAAAAAATGACCTTTTTTTTTTTTTTTGTATTTTGAGACAAGCTTTCTCTGTACAACCCTGGCTGTCCTGTAACTCAGTGTGTAAACCAAGGTAGCCCTGAATTTAGATATCCACCTGCCTATGCCTCTGCTTCCTGAGTGCTGGGATCAAAGTCATGCACCACCATACCCAACCCAAAACAACAATTCTTTATTATTATTATTATTATTATTATTATTATTATTATTAGTGGCTGGAGAGACAGCTGTGGATGCTGGGAACTGAACTCTTATATTTTTGGTTGTGAGCCTAGCCTTTAACGGCTGAGCCATCTCTCCAGCCCAAAAACGACAATTCTTGATCCCTGGCCGTTCATTAAACATGTATCAGAGCATCAGAGAGTAACTTCTAGATTTTCAAAAATCAAATCGTTGCTCATGATTCTAGAGCGCTGCCAGGGTTGAGGCCATTTGCCTAAATGGTTGAAGACCCGAGTAAAGGGCCTCCCTCCCTCCCTCCCTCCCTCCCTCCTTCATCAGGTTCCCTGTTACCAGAAGGCTCTCCCCACCTTGGCTCTCTCCTTGTTTATCCGTTGCAACACACATTTATGGATTCCCTGTAAAGCCCTTGGGGACTGTGTGAGGTCAGTGGCAGACTCCACCCTGAAAGGATCCTGAACATGGCCAAGAGCAAATCCTGCAGAGAGAGATGGTTTGGTCTCTCTGACTTGAACACCGGGTACCAACCCTCCAGGGACACGTTGTCTCAGGAGGCAGCTAGACCGAGGAACCATCTCTGATTGGGACCTGAAGGCAGCAAGAGCCTGCCTGTTCTCTGCCTCATCTGACCCTCATCAAACCGTGTAGATAAGTGTGGCCTTTGCTGGCCTACATGAGTAAAGTAACCTCAGAGCTCCTGGCTGCAAACACATGTTCCCTCCCCCCTGCAAGCCTTTCATCTGTCCCTGCAGGCCTGAGTGCCACAAACCCAGTCACCAGATTGAATCGAGGGCTAAAGCTGTCTTGGACAAGCCAGTGGCCATAGGTAGCTACTAAAGTGTAAATGAATAGAAAAAGTAAAATGGGTGAGATGGCTCAGGAGGTAGAGAAAAGCCCTTGCAGACAAGCCTGATGATCTAGGAACCCAGACCATGGTAGAATTATTTCCAAGGGCTGTTTCTCTGGCTTCCACATACGTACTTGGCTTGCACATGCACATAAACAAACAAATAAATGTAATTAAAAAAAAGCTGGTGTGTAGTGGCCCGTGCCCTTAGACCCAGCACTCGGAAGGCAGAGGCAGGTGGATCTCTGTGAGTTTGAGGTCAGCCTGGTCTACAGAGCAAGTTCAAGAAAGAGAGGGGGAAAAATGATTTCTAGATGTGCTTGATAGTGCAATTCTAGCATAGAGGAAATTGATGCTGGAGGATTACAAGTTCTAGTCCAGCCTAAGCTACAGAGACAAAGAGGGGGGTGGGGTGGGGGGAGGACCCTCAAAATAAAAAACAGAACAAACTTTTTTCTTTCTTTCCTTTTTTTTTTGGTTTTTCGAGACAGGGTTTCTCTGTGTAGCTTTTGCGCCTTTCCTGGAACTCACTATGGAGACCAGGCTGGCCTTGAACTCACAGAGATCCGCCTGGCTCTGCCTCCCGAGTGCTGGGATTAAAGGCGTGCGCCACCACCGCCCGGCAGAACAAACTTTTGTACTTTATCACACCAGTTACTTTTCAGTGCTCAGTGGCCAGCTGTGGCTGGAATGGCTGTGCGGGTCTGCTCATGAGCATTCCCATAATCCAAGGAAAGTGTGTCGGACAGTGCTGGGCTAGAGGGCTATGCAATGTCTTCCAGAGCCTTCTGCTGTTCTCGTCATCCTGCCTTGACCCTTTCTCTCCTCCACTTGAGCTCATTCTGTGACTGTGATGGCCGAGGCTTTGGAGCCAGACGGATGTCACCCCACGATAACTCTATGTGGCTTTAAGGTTTATTTATTTTTATTTTGTGTGTATGGGTGTTTTGCCTGCATGTATATCTGTGTATACATGAGTGTCTGGCGCCCTAGGAGGTCAGAAGAGGGTGCTGGATCCCCTGGAACTGGAGTTACGGACAGTTGTGGGCCCCTGGAAAACTATCTAGTACTCTAAGCCACTGGACCACCTCTTCAGCCTGAGACTTTGTGTTTTCATCTAGGAAAAAAAAGATAGAGAGTTAGATAAAATTGGACCTGGAGGGGTCTTCAGGGATGCTCAACACTTAAGATCACTTGTTGCTCTTGCAGACGACCAGGGTTTGGTTCCCAGCACCCCCATGGTAGTTCATATCTATCTGTAACTCCAGTTCCAGGGGATCCAATGTCCTCTTCTGATTTTCTTGGGTACCAGGCATATACACAGTGTGAATACATATATACAGGCAAAACATTCATGCATGTAAAATAAAATAAATCTTAAAAACAATGCAAAAAATGCCTTGGAAGGCTGGGTGTGTTGTGGTAAAGTACTTTCAATCCTAGCACGTCGGGGGGGCCGAGGCAAGGCCAGCTTGGTCTACACAGTGAGACCCTGTCTCAAAACGGCTTACAGACAGACTTGGCCTGCAGGTTCTGCATCCAAGGATTCTAACAACCCATGTTGAAGGTACCAGAGAGGAAAAAACCAACTGTCTGTCCAGGATATGCACAGACTTTTTTCTCTCGTTATTCTTTAAAGAGCACATGATGCCCACTGTTCCCCTG